TAGGATGAAAAAAGGGGCCCCTGGGAGGCCTATGGGGATCAGTCTTGACAGCTGGCGGTGCAATTGACTTCTTTCCCAGGACTCATAAAACTTGCTTCTGGCAGAAATGAATTTTAGAAAAAGCTATTATCTCGGTTTCCCCCTACCTTTACAGCTGGCATGCTTCTCTCTTCCTGAGATATAAGATGCTAGCAAAAAATGCCACAGATTTTCTTAAAGTAGAAAAAAGTTTTGTATGTTTAATTTTTTGAAAGTGCTTTAGTTTCTATTTTCCTTTAGAAGAAAACTGGTTTTTCACTGGGATTTTCCCACAGGCCACATGCAGGTATATAGAAAAGAGAATGATGTGTGTTTGCATACAATTTGCATATATCTGTGTAGACTGGATCATCTAGTCTCAGAGTACTTTCTTTTTTTTCTTTATTTTTTCAAAGAAATTGAATACTTGATCAACTTTTGAATGAAAAGAATCAACAACAGTGAAAAGCAGTGCCATAGTGGAAGTCATCCTTCATAGAGAAGATTACCTCTTTAGAAGATTCCCCCATCCTCTTCCAGTCTTTTATAAGATTTTAGATGGTTGTGGTCACCATGATAAAAAACAGCAGCAGCCATCTGCATGCCAGGATAGCTGTCGTATATGCTTTTATGTCTCTCTTATTTTACTCACCAGCCCTTAGAAGTAGATGTCACTCTCAGTCTACCAACAGGAAAACAGACTTAGGGAGGCAGCACAGTTTGCCCAAGGTCACTCCTATGGGTGGTGGCAGAGCCGTGATTCAAACCCAAGACTGGCTATCTGGCCCCAAGGTCTTTGTTTTTAAACTCCTAAGCTGTGTTTTCTATCATTTGTGTATTGATTGATGTTTTGAGTTTTCTCCTTGACAATACTAGCCATAGATAGATATGTAGTTTGTCTGGCTGTCATTTGAATGGTAGTGGACTCTGTTGCACAATGTTGAGGTACCAACATTGTGTTTATGTAACTGTCTTTCTACTGGGTTTGTTTCCAGTTTCTCAATATTAAAGATAGTGCAGGTGTAAATATCTTCACGCAAATAAGGTGGTTTGTTGGAATTTTTAGGTATTTGATAGTGGTCTCCAAAGTAGTAATTTTGAGCCAAAGGGTTATCATTTTATGATTCTCCAGAAAGTCTATACCAGTAATTCACCCAAGCAGTGGTTATTTTTGGAGTGCCCACTGTGTACCAGGTGCTGGACATGAAGAGGTAATTCAGAAACAGCCCCTCTCTCAGAGAACTAAGTCTGGTGTGGGATAGATGATGCTATACAGAATGAATGCTACTAAAGTGGGGTTTGGGGCAAGGGGCAGTGAGAGCACTGAGAAACGTGTCCTCTGGTAGTATCTGTGAGTGTTCCTTTCCTTCTGCAGCACAGGGCAAGACAGGGGAGGAGCATGATGACTGCAGGGCTTCCCCGGCTGAAGCCTTGTCCCGGCTTTCCCCAGGGCTGGCTGCAGAGCTGCCTCCTGGCTGAGGACACCCCCTCCACACACACACACACACACACACACACTTGCTTTGCTGACACTGCCACCTGGCTCACAGGGCGCGTCCCTGCTGCGCAGTTGCCACTAGGGGGCGCCGAGCAGAAAGGATGGAGGGAGGGGACACCCACGACAACAGACTGGGGGCTCCAGCAGTGGGAGGAGTGGCAGCCTAAACACCTGTCAGTCTTCCAGGTCCTCTCTTTCCGTGTAGGCCGGCCGCAGCCAGGGTGACAACACGGTACCCAGTCCACACTCATTCGGCAGACAGGAATGTGTGCATGCCCTAAAGGCATAGCTCAGTGCATTTTCACACACCAAGTACCGTGCTAGACGCTAGGAATGCGGAAGCAGCCTGACATGGTCCTTGACCCTGAGATGCACTTGGTCTAGTGGGTCAGACAGACAAAGGAAGAGACAGACAGTCCAACTTGGTGTGCTGGAGGTCTTCACAAGTGGCAACAGGAGCATTGAACTCCCTATTGAGTCCCCTGGCGGTGTGTGAGAGTGCGTTTTTTCAGTGCTTCCCTGTTGACTTTGACTGTGACATTGCCCATATTCCAGGCTGGAATTTCTCCATCTATAAAATGGAGGGAATGATATCCATGTTTGCAAAGGTCCTTCAGACTCAGATGTGCCATGAGCCTAGAGCAAACCTGAGTTTCTCCCACAGAAGAGCACCCACCCTTGGTCCCCATTTTAGTCGCTGAAGAAAGCCTCCTTTCTCATCTCCCTTCCACATGCTCTCCTTAGATGATTTTCCTTGGCATTCTGCCTCTGGCCTTTTCCTTCTCTCTTAATACATATGTTCCCATGACTTCAGTTACTACTGTGTGCTGATGACACCTACATCAACATGCTTGCCACCATCCTCTTCACTGAGTTTGTGACTCATAATAATGAAAAGAATCAGCATTTGCTAAATCCCAGATATAATACTGTAATTACGGTATATTATCTCATCTTTCCAGCAATATTGTGAATTGGGCAGTGCCACCCATTTTATAGGTGAGTAGAATTGAGTTCAAGAGATGCTGAGACTTTCGCAAGACCCCAAAGTTGATAAGTGATGGGACCAGGATTTGCAAACTTCTACCTGTTGGAGCTTCACTGCCCATGCTTTCATCCATCACAGTATATCCTGGAGTATAGGCAGCTGCCACAGACCTCAATTTCGTGTCTAAACTTGGCCTCGTTGTCTTCCTTCTGTTCAAATCTGCCTTTTCCTCTCTTCTCCATTGCAATAAATGGCACCATCAACCCAGTGATAGCCAAGCCAGAACCCTGGGAGTCTTCCAGGATTCTTCCTCTCCCTTACCAACCCCTATCTCCCTAACAATCTTCTCCAATCTTCATCTACATCATGGTGATTTTTACCCCTCTCTCCTCCAAGCTTGCTACTGTTGCCTTCCAAAGCCATTCATCCTGTTCTCTCTTTGGGCCCCTGCAGCAGTCTTCTTACCGGCCTTCCTACCTCGACTCTGTCTGCTTCGGTCCATCCCCTGTACACCAGCCAGGGCAATCTTTTGCAAACACACATGTGATCACCTCACCTTCCTACTTCAAAACTTCCACCGCTTTCTGTGACTCCATAGCAGAGCTCAAAGCTGGCCACCCATGGGCTGAAATCCATACAGAAGACATGTTTTGTTTGGTCCATTGAGTGTTCTTAAAACATTTTGAATTAGTCGTCAACATTGGAAAATCAGGAAATTTCACATAAAAATTAATGTATATTGGCTTCTCTTGCAAAATTGAAAAAAAAAAAACAAAAACAAAAACTGGTAACTCTGGGTCCACATCCCTTCAGGACAGTGATTGGACGGAGCTGAGTAGTGGTTGCCCTCGTTAAAAGGGGTGTGGGCTTTTCAGTTTGACAGTCTCCAGCATCTCCCAGCATCTCTTAGGCCCCAGTCACACTCCTGCTTCCAATTATTTACCTGAGAGTTGGGGCATTTGAGCTCATGATCCTGGTGCATAGGACGAAGCCCAAAGCCCTCAGCATGGCTTCTAGTGTCCTATGTGTCCCAGCCTGGAGCAAACCAGCCCTGCCAAACTTTGAGTCTAGTACCTGCTACTGCCCCATCACACTCTCCCCTGTGGCCCCATGGAACTCTTATCCATAGTTCTCTGAATTGCCCTGCTCTTAACTGCCTCCATGCAGGCCTGTACTTTGGAATTCCTAGGCCCCTCCTTACGTCCTGTTTGTCCTGGATTTTGCACTACTGCTCGCTCTACCAAGAAACATTCATCCCCCTGGCTGAGTTTTGTTTTCCCATAACAGGTGGCACAGAGCTCAGTCATCCCACCAGCTGCACTGTGTTGTAGTTGTTGACTGTGAGTCTGCGATTGCAGGGAGCCTGCCTTATCTTCCTATCCTCAAAGCTTTGCACAGGACTTGGAATACTCAAGGTGCCGCATAACTGTTGAATGAATGGATAAATCAGCGAAAGACTGACTTGGGAAAATAATAGTCTAGGATGTGATATCACCCCTAATTGCTTGGGGTGGGGGTTCTAGGTCCCTTTCATTCTTGAGCACCCCCTCCGAGTCCGAACCCAGAGAGATACCTACAACATCCTATAAAGCATGCTGCCGTTCTCCAAGCTCTAGAATATATTCAGGCCTACTGGGATGGTACTTTTTAGCAATGATAGAGGGAAAATACATCATTTTTCATAGCCCTGGGGGAAAGTTGGCAGATTCTTCAGTTATTTGAATAATAACGATGATAATGCCAGCATCTAACACTCGCTGAGCACTTACATTGTACCAGACCCTGAACTAAGAGCTCTCAATGTAGTTTTATTTATTCCTCCACCACTAGGAAGTAGGTAGGACTATTGTCCCCATTTTATAGGCAAGTAAATTGAGATATAAGGATTTTAAACAACTTTTCACATAGCACATAAGCGGTAGAGTCAAGATTTGAACTCAAATCTAACTTCAGAGTTGACATTCTCAACCACTACACCATACTTCCTCAATGACATTTCTCTTTAGAAACATGAGGAAATAATTGTGGGAATGAAGGCTATACATGTTATATATAACATGTATATATCTATACATGTTATATGTAACAGTATATATACATGTTATATATGACATATATAACATGTGTGTATATATATATATACTATGTACAGTAAGATTGCAAATATTAATTTAAAAAAGAAAGAAAAAATCCTGAGGCATAGAGAAAATGGCCATAAAGACAAACTCACGTGAAATTTTTCTTTAATGAATACATACCACTTTTATGATTAAAAAAAAAGTCCTCCCTTTGTAATGACCCCAGAAACAGAGGGCAGGAAGGGGCTGGTTTGAGTACCCAGCTAATCAGTAGGGCTGTCTCTTGAGTAGTTGCCACTGATCAGTAGAAGGAACAGTCATCAGACAGCAGCTATGACCTCACTACCTGCACCCTCATGGTGCAAAGGAGAAGTGAGTCACTATACCTGCCATTTCACCATCTCCCTTCTTCCTCCAGGTGCTTACACTCCAGAGCCCCTCAGCAGTTTCCGGTGGGCTCTTCTCTCAACTGGCCTCATGTTCTTTTATCACTTCAGCGTCTTGCAGATCCTCGGCCTGGTAAGTTTGGTTATATCCCCTTCTATCCCCTCTGTTTGCAGTTCTTCATAAATCTTGATAATCCTGGTTGGCGCTGGCGTATCACTTTGTTTTGAAAATACAAGATGCTAAAGGCCAGGATGTCAGATTGTTGTGTCTGGGTTGCTGATTTATGATTCACATCCTTGGCCTCTCCAAAGAGTTTTCTGAGTCTTTTAGTAATGACTGTTTCTTTCATCCCTGGGGAGGCAAGGATGCCTTTCGCTCATGGCCACTTGGGTCAGAAACAGTGAGCTGCAGCTGGAAAGTGGTTTGCTGTGGAACCCATGGGGAGGCAGGACCCTAACCCTGGCCCTGGGCCTGGGGGAGTCTTCTGACCTTGGATCCATCCTGGGCCCATTCATAGGCCTTGAAGCCTGGGCTCTTCTCTGAGTTTCAGATCCAGTAGAAGTTCGGTGTTGGGGAAATCCTGTGGCATTCTGGGGTGTTTAGAACTTCCTGGAGCATGAAGAGTGGTTGGACTCAGTAGCTGAGTTATCCAGATCCCAAAATTGCTGAATACAAGAGTGTATATCAGTGGCAAAATGAGTCGGAAGAGCTCAGGGCTGGGGCTGGGGGTCAGGAGACCCAAGTTCAAGTCCTGGTTCTGCCACTGCTCTAAATGAGTCACCTCACCCTTGAGGGCAGAGAGTTCTCCACCTCTCTGTGACATGGTATAAAAGCCCCAACTTCCCTGAGAGGTGGTGAGGACATGTTTTTCATGTGAACAGGCTTGAAGGGCTTTGGAAGGCAGCTGCCACACCTGTCCTTGGGACAGGTGTGGCATGTCCGGTTTTGTGTGTAAGCGGCAATAATGGAGCATTAGCGATGTGGAGCCTTGTGTGACCTAGCATGACTAGGGCGTATGACCGATGTCCCCAACACCTTTGTAGAAGCAGTCACTTTCTCTTCCTCATTCTGGTGTATGGCGCTGCTCTGGTTTGCTGGGGGCTTAGTCTGAGCTCCTTGCCAAAATGTGATGCTTCCTGTGCTCTCAGAAGGAAGCTGTTTGATGTTCACACCCTTACCGCTCGCTGCTCTCCACTGGGATCCCTGATTCCAGAGGCATCAGTGTGCTCATGCCACCCTACATACCATGCTTAGGCCATGCCTCCTACAAGGAGGGCTCCCCTCACCCCATTCCTCAGCATAACCCCCCCATCCATCTTTCATGAGTCCATTCAGGTACCACTTCTGTCATGAAATCTTCTCTGAGGACTCAGCCCCCATATTGTATGCTCCTCAGACCTCCTCATGGAGTATAAAATTGGGTGAACCCTGTCTGGTTTGAGGTCAGATGTAGTAAACCTTTGACCACCCACACTTGATTGATTGCCAATTACGTGGAGGCAGGGACCACGCTGTGGGCTGTACTTTTAGCCTATAACACCTCTCTGGGGACTAGGCACATAGTAGATGTTCAGGAATGGCAACAGGCTCTGGGCCCAAACAGAAGGCAAGACTGTAAGTGAAACTGTACAGCTTTTCCACAGGACAGCCCTTCCCCATCACCTCCAGAGGGCTCTAGCCTTGACTCACTCAGAAAACCAAGGGGAGAGAAGAAATCCCTTTATAAACAGGTGGGGATTGGTCAATCCCTCCTTGTCTAGTCCCCCATTAGGTAGAGATGGCTGAACTGGCAGAAGCCAGAGAAAGCCTAAGGATGGTGAACGCTTACTCTACCTCCCTTGTCCCTGCAGGTCACCGAAGTGAATTTGAACAACATGCTGTGTCCGGCCATCTCAGACCCATTCTACGGCCCCTGGTATCGCATCTGGGCCTCGGGACACCAGACTCTCATGACCATGACCCACGGGAAGCTGGTCATCCTGTTCTCATACATGGCTGGGCCCTTGTGTAAATATCTGCTGGATTTGCTCCGGCTTCCAGCCAAGAAAATAGACTGAAGGTGCTTGTTTTTTTTTTTTTGTTGTTGTTTTTTT